AATTGGTACTCTGGAAACTATAGCAGCCTCTGAAGCTACTGACAGTTCTGCGTAGTTGAACTTAAGACATTAATCTTTGGAAGAGAAAGCCAGGACCAGTTTTGCCATTCATGAACAGAACTTAAATGCCTCCAGGGAAGTCTGATATGGACAGGGTTAGTGAGGTATGCAATACATTCTGGTAACCATCCTGTTTAGTCTGTATATCTTTCATTAGAACAGACAAAGCAATTCTGTTTTTTGATGTTGGAAAATTAATCAAAAAAGCCGAATGCCAAAATGGGTTATCTGGAGTCATTGTGTGGTAACTATCCATGAATAACAAAGACCTAGTTAATATATTATTTGGCATAAGGCTGAATTGATGAAAACCAATCACATTGGCTTTCTAGGTAGATGCAATGGCCTGATTTTACGTGGCTTCATCCCTGTTATTTTGAAACGCCACTCTGCTTTTTAGTAAGCCTATGTCAAGTACTGACACCTCCCACTGAAAACAAATATCAAATCCACTAATTTACTTTTTTTTTAAAAAAAAAAGTTCTTCCACTGTTGCTTGATGGAGGTAGATACCAAGTAGGGCTGAGAGTCAGAAAGCCCAAGATCAGTTAGCAAATATAAAGTAATTAACAGGTTAATCCCGAGCTTTAAGAACTTGCAGAAGTCTTCCTTTTATTGTCCATTGCACGATACATAATATCTCTCAAGCCTCTCTAGAATAAGAATGGCAAATGGGTTAGTCCTCAGAGGTGCTTTTGAACAAGCAATCCACTGCTCTTATGAGCACATTAAACAGTCCTGATGAAAAGGCAGGCACAAGCAGCCCCAAAGCAATGCATGGCTTGTCAGCTGACTGCAAGTGGTAGAAAACGATATGCCAGGCAAACACAATAGACAAACGAGATGTGACCAAGGAGCCATCTTCAATTTATCTTCCGCCTAGACTTGCATTTTTGTGGATGAGCGGTTTGCAGAGACCTTTTGCGAGCAATCAAAAACTGCCTGGGAAGAAACTTTATATTTTTGGCTTCACCAGAAAGGGGAGAGAAGGACTAAAATGGGAGCATTTTTCTAGGATGGATCATAATTGCCATGTGTGCCTGTTAACGGATGGTCATCATTTGGCTTGTGCATTACAAGGAGACAAGACAGTTATTAATAAACAGTGCAGCACCCACATTTTTCCCCCCAAGCAGACTTAATGAAGCCAAGTTTGCAAATGAAACATAATTTCAAAGACAGGCGTGTTGTCGGAAGGTCTAGGGATGATGTATGCCTGTTCCTGCTCGTTAGCAGCTGTCTCTTTAATTACTGCAGATGCTAACGAGATGCTAACAGCATATGGTGACAGAGAGAGCTGGCTCACTTTGCACCAAAGTAGAATTTGTTGTGCTGGTGGCCACCGGGATAAGAGGATACTCCATAGAGGTAATGTAGAATATTGCCCCAGGGTTCCTAACACCTCATAATTTGGAGCTGTTCAAGGTCCTGAAATATTTTGGGAATTAAGAATGTAACAGTATTACATATCAGATCTATAATCATCTGTAAATGTTGGAGACCATGTCTCCTTTCCCAGATGGCAATTCTTGGAGTAGTACCCTTCCTCCTTTGAATAATGTCTCTCTTAGCCTAATCATTTTTAACTCTTCATTGCTGTTCCTTTCTCTCATAAACAATCCAGCCCCTTGTCAAATATCTTTATTGCATAATACCGCACCCTTCAAAGTTTCTAATTTCCCCCCCCTTTCATCTAAGCGCTATGTCCTAGTACATCTCCCTTAACTGAAATCTGAGTACTTTATTTTTTCTTACACTTCTAAAAAAGCAGGACATAGATAAGGTTGCCTCTTTCACAGTAGAGTAAATTGTGTTGCTTTTATCAGTGCAGGGAAGCTGACTCGTTGATTATGTATTTGCTTTTTTATATAATAAGAACAGCAGAGGACACCTAGAGAAATGAACTAGGAACTATAGAGGAAACAACAGGAAGCATTTATTTCAAACCATCAGATTATTGTCTAGTTGATCTCATTACTATCAAATACGGAATCTAGCAGCACAACTAAAAACATTTTTAAGGAATAAAAGAAATTTACAGAAGTTAATTGAAATACAGATTAATGTAGGATATTGGGAGTGGGGAAATTCACAATTGAGTTGAGAAATTTGGAGAAGATATTGGAGCTACAAGTTTGTTTCTGAACTTTTAGCAATAAAATATTTAAGAAACAAACTAGAGCTAAATCTGCATACCTTAATTATTTTACCTAGAGATTGCAACCAAATGTGAAAAAAATAAGAGAATGATTTGATGGCATCTGTTCTTTTCTTAAGGAGCAAGTTCTGACTGATGTGCCAATTGGCTTAGAATACATTGGGCTGTTGCCGTTGCCCTAGCAAAATTCTTATTTCCTATGCATAGCTTGTGCATTGCTTAAAATATGTGTGGTATACTACCTACACCAATACAAAAAAAATTCAGTGGTTGTTCAATCAATCTTACCTCTTTCATTTTTTTAAAGCCTATATAGCCTCTTCAAAAAGCTCAGAAGCGAGGCTCTTAACGTGCTTTCAAAACCAGGCCAGGTTTGGGCTGCCGTCTTTAAAGCTCTAGAAATAATAGAATCTGTGCCAGAAATGATGCTTCCTAGATTCTCTGAGGATTTTAGTTATAAAGATGCCATAGAAAATATAGCCTTCAATAATTGTGTATTGCTCTTCACTTAAATCTCTTGTTAAATCAAATTTTCTGAAAGGGTCTTCATTTGAACTTAAAATATTGAATCTTTATCTTGGTTTGCCATTATTAAGTTACAATCCGTGGAGCTCAATGACCTTCAGTGAAATTCTTGAAACTGTTGTTTACATGCCATTTTGTAAAGAGAGGGAGGGAGAGGGAGAGGGAAGGGAGAGAGAGCATGTGTGAGAGAGAGTCGGGAATTGCATATTGCAAATAGTGTAAGTTTTTTTTTCTTTTTAAAAGTTTAAGACTGAATAAGCAGCTACTATTTTGGATGAGGGATTAATCTTACCAAAGCAAATAGAGCTACTTTTGGAGACACAATAGAGTTTTGAATTAATAACTAATAAAATCCTGACCATGCCCATTCCCGGTCATTTCTGTGTACATACTTTTTATCCTGCAGCAAGCATCCTGTAAAATAATCATTTAATTGAACCATGAAATAATGGCTAATAAAATCAGCCTTTGATGCAGAGTCTTCTAAAAGACCAGAATAGCAACTACGGTATTTCTCGTACATACCTATGCAAGTTATTTTGGAAATGAAGCATTAATGTTATATTGACTGTCCTTCTTTCTCTTTATGCTTTCTTCAGGAGTGTGCAGGTGAACCTCTGTTCATGTTGTATTGTGCCATCAAACAACAGATGGAGAAGGGGCCTATAGATGCAATCACTGGAGAAGCCCGCTATTCCCTGAGTGAAGACAAGCTCATCCGGCAACAAATTGACTACAAAATGTTGGTTAGTAATAGTGGGAATTTAACTAGCATGGAGTCTTAGTCCTCTGAGTTAGCCCTTCTGATAATACTTTGCTGGGGGGGGGGGTTAAGAGAAGGATCTCTAATTAACACGGTAGTTGTTCCTTCATCAAGACCAATAATAAGAGAAGGAGGTAATATAGAATAGGAGGTGAGAATACTCTCTGTTTTTTATTGGCATTGATAGAGTATTCCAGTGCTTCTTAAACTTTTTTCTCTTAGGATCTCTTCCCACTTGTAAAAATTATGGAGGACCCCAAAAGAGCTTTTCTTTTCAATGGATTATAGCCAATGGATTATATTTATTGACACATACTATACTATATTTACTAGCAATAGCAATAGCAGTTAGACTTATATACTGCTTCATAGGGCTTTCAGCCCTCTCTAAGCAGTTTA